CGGAGATCAATTGACAACTCGGGGGATGAAACTCGCGCATGACCCAAGGAAGAATGGATTTATATCTCATTTAATTGAAAAACAATAATGTAATCTAGGGATGGAAAGAAAGAGGACGAGACTACGAGCGTCTAGGATCAAATGGAGTCTGATTCAGAGTTCGAATGAGGGAGATATGACCGAAAGACAACAACCTCTCTAGAGTTTCGGGTTGGCCTTCAAAGTTACGACCATGACCTGAAACATGGATCCTCATGGCTTCTCCAGCCATTGGGTGTTTTTCTTTTCTTTTCTTTTCTACCCTTGCTTTTCACTTGGGTGTTTTGCTTTTGTTGGTGCAGATCTGAAACATGGATCCTCATGGCTTCTCCAGCCATTGGGGGTATCCACCACCATCCGAGTAGTATTACCCCGAGACTTCCTGGAGCAATCAAGAAGGAGAAGACTATGGATTCGGGTTCCAGTACCAACCCCCTTACTACGGAGAACAATCAGACCCCTGGCCATATCAAGAACAACCTCCTTATCAAAAAGAAGTCCTCCCACAGCCAGAAGGGCCATCAAAGCTGGAGTTAGCCCTGGCGGCGTTCACATGCCAATCTGTAGAGCCATGCTACAGTCCACAACAAGATCCAAACTATGAATTGAGACTTCTCATAGAGAAGTTTGTTCGGGACACCGAGAGATCCTTCCCCAGGATGGACCTCCTTATCCAATCCATAGCTCCTGTCCCTTCTTTTCTCCGTGAATCTGAGGAGGTTTTTCATGCTCAGCGAAGCAAACAAAGTGGGTTGAGCAAGTTTGTGCACAGCTTGCTCAAAATCAGCTTTCTGCTTCCATACAAGAAGAGGAGGAGGATGAAGAAGCTACAAGGACATTTTGGAACAGACAGAAGTTATCACGGAGAGCTCCCGTGATGATCATGATCAGGAATATCTTGTTGTAGCTACCCACACATTCACACACCGAGCTTTGAAGAGGCGGGCCTGAGTGATGAGATGCAAGATGATCTCATCAAAGAAATTGATTGGCGACTTGCTCTCCATTCCGTGCTAGAAGAAGAAGAGTGAGAAAGGATGAGGAAAGAAGTTGTGGAGGATGACAGAAGTGAAGCAGAGGAAGTTCTTGATCTTCCAAAAGCGGAGGAATCAAATTTTTAAGAAGAAGGGGGGTTGAAGAAGCAATTGGCGTCTAGGCTGAGGATGAATTTGAGGTGGAAGAGGCTTGCACCGACCATGAGTTACATGTAATATATCCACCAAACTTCGAGGAGCTGCTAGGCAAGGACCCATTTGCAGTGTCTCTTTGCCAAACCAAGGCCACACCAACATCCATCCCTCTTGATGGATACGATGGAGGTCAATCAATGTTTTCCTACATGGTTTGGGGCAATAAGACACGAGAAGAAGAGGTCTCGAGGGTGGAGACTTCATCTGAATCGAGTACACGAGTTTGCCTCACTTGTCGCACCACATGCTCATGACTTGAGACTCCACCTTGTCGATGAGAACCTCAACTTGAAGGAGATTTCGGGGTGGACAGAAACTTAGGAGCCATCGTCTGGCTCACGACGTGAAAGAAGCGCTTGTTGGGAGGCAACCCAACCAGTCGATTTGCATTTCTTTCCCTATTTCTCTTCGGTTGATTCAGTTTTGTTCTTTGATTTTAGAGTCAATAACTCAACCTGTGTGAGATTTTGTGTGGTGTTTGTGTTCCGAATACTCTCTCCTCTTGGAATGCACCGCCTACCCCGTCCACCATCATTCACACTTAATCTGGTAACTTTGTTCTACCCTCCTTATCTTTCCTCCATTGAGAACAATGTCGTGCTTAAGTGTGGGGGGATGTTCGATTAAATATGCGTGTGAATGTTTGGTTGTATGTGTGTGCTTGGAGCCTAGTCCATTGTCCAAAATTTTAAATTTTAGGACTCCAAGCACGTGTTCTTTGCAATCGCCTGCCCAGTATGCTTTGAATTGACAGCCTTTATAGTAATATGCAACCTAGAGAGGTAGTATAGCACTATGGAGGATGTTGATGCATTTAAGAAGTCTCCTTTCTTCTTCACATTGTGTTGATTGATTGTATGAATTAGTGATCTTAGGACCCTTGAATTGTGTGGTATTGTGGACTCTCTACCTGTCATGGACTCCTGTATCATGTTTTGAAAAAGGGTGCTCTAAATTGTGCTTTTAAAATAATGCCTCCCGTGCGAAAAGTGGTAAAAGTGTGTGAGGGGAGACATCTGCTACTGGCATGGCCGGTAAGAGCCGGGCTCCCTCAAAACCTTTGTAGGTGGGAGCCCCATTTTTTTGGAAATAACAGGTTGGAACCCTTGCAAAAGAAGAATAAAAAAACAAACAAGAAAGGGTAAATTGCAAGTTTGGCCACTGAAAGTGCTAAAATATTCATGTTTGGTCACTGAAAGAATTTTATTCTATCCCTGGTCACTGAAAGTGCTTAACGGTTCACGATTGGTCACTCTCCGTTAGTCTCTGTCAGCCTCCGTTAACGGAGTCCGTTATTTGTTGACGTGGCTAACAGTGTGGCCGATTCAGCGTGATTTAACCCGAAAAAAAGGAACCCGACTCGCCACGTCGCTTTTACCCGCCATGTCAAATCTCCCAACCAAACACGTGAACCCAACCCATGAGGCGGTTAGACCTAAGATTAAACCACGTAAAATTAAAAAAATAAAATGGGTTTAACAACTGAAAGAAGAAAAAGAGTGGCCATTCGTTTCAACTCATCTCCTTCCTCCCCGAACTCTTCCTCTTCCCTTGTCTGCAAATTTCTTTCGATATCAAAGAGCGGCGATGGCGCTAGCCACTCCACCCCACTGATTTTCTCCACGCCACCTCGACGACATCACCTCTCCTTTTCTTTTTCATCGCTTTTAATCTTCTGCCTCTGTTTCATTCTACTTAAAACCCTAATCCAGCCACAACTCTGTTCTCTTCGATGATTTGTGCCCGACGGAGACCCAAATTTAGATGAAGCTTCTCTTTCTATAAGTTTGATTGTAAAGGTGAGTTTGTGGTGTTTTATTTAGGGTTCGACATCACATGCAAAGGATGAAAAAAAGACAATAGAAGGGACCGAGAAAAGGGACGATTTGGGAGTTTCCTTTGGCGGGTTTTCTGCCTTTGTTTTATACTAAACAAAGGCGATGTTGTTTTTCCAGGTCAGGTCGCTTTACACCAAAGAAGCATGTTGGGACATGTGCGAGGATCAAATGAATCCCAACCGAAATATGGTGAGTTGCTGTCGTTATCGATTCTGTCCTTTTCGTAGATGGTCTTTTTCGATTAGTAAATGTTAGCTTCTTGTGGGGATGATCAAAACCAACAACATTGGTTGTCTTTTTTGAATAGAAAATGCTTGGGTCTTGTGGGATGACCAAAGCAGCATAATTGTTGTCATTTTTTGAATATAAAATGTTTGGTTTTGTTAGGGATGACCAAAACAGTAGCATTGTTGCTCTTTGACCCTTTCGTTGACCATGCCTGCTCTTTTTCTTTTGAACTAACAGTAGCATTGTTTTAGATGACAGGTACTGGCAATGGAGAGTTTTCATTTGCGGTTCATGTGTCACACGTATTGGAAGAGAAGGACTACAAACATTTCTTGACTGAGAAAGAGACAGTCTATTGGGACTATGCCGATATCGATGAGCTCTCGGTGTTGGACTTGCCCGGCATATATACGAGGCATGTTGTGGGAGGCAGAAGAATCCGATTTTTTTTTTTGAAATCTCCTTGCAATGAGGCAATGAATGAGCTTGCTACGGACGAAGACATACTTAGTATGAAAACATTTGCTAATGAGGAGCGACGAATCCAAGAACCATTTGCCATCACTGAGGCCGAGATATCAGAGTTCATGGAGAGAGGTGAAGAGGAAGCTGGTGCTGCCAAGAAGGATACAAAGGGTGGAAAAACTACCAAGAATGGTACAAAGGGGAAACAAGCTGTTGTAGTTCATATCCATGAGAGTGATACTGGCTATGAAGAGGAAGAAGACAGTGACTACGTGGAATCAGCAGTAGAAGAGGATTTTAGTGATGGTGATAATGCAATGTTTGAGGAACATGTCACTGAAGAGGCAGAAGCTGAATTGGGAAGCTTTGAACGTGGAAATTCAAGTCGCGGGCAGACCATCATAGATGATGAAGGGTCTGATTTTGTTGACTTTGATGATCGTAGGAGTATCTACAGTTCGGATGAAGACTATGAGTACCATCAAGCTCATGAGTTTAGGACTGATCGAGACATGGAGAGTCCTAAATTTGAGGTTTCCCAAAGATTTAGCAGCTTCGACGTTCCGAAAGACGCAATTAAGCAACATGCATTTGTGAAAAAGCGGCCAGTTCGTTTGAAAAAGAATGATAAACAGCGGCTACAAGCAATGTGTGAAGCACCGTGTGATTGGTATATATGGGCATCAAATATGAACATGACTGATGCTGTCCAAATTAAGAGTTGCGAGTTGGAGCACACTCCGGATTGTCAAATGAATTTCAAAGTCAAGTATGCAGCAATAAAGTTTCTGGGGGGTAAAATTGCTAGGAAGGTGGCGGCAGACAAGAGTATGAGTAAGGGTTTGCTGAAGCAAATTTGAAAGGAAGATTACAAGGAAGATGTGAGGGATACAAAGGCATGGAGAATAAAAAAGGAAGCCATTGAGCAACTTCGTGGAAGTTATGTGGAGCAGTTTCGAAGTCTGTATCACTATGCAGAAGAGTTGAGGATAGGGATGGCAGGCCAGGGCCCAAATCCGGGTATCCGCCCGAAGCCCGCCCGATAACGGCCCATGTGGTTGGTCTTCTCTGGCCTGTCAACGGGTTGCGGGTAACCCGAAACCCGTCAACCATGGTTTTCGGGCGGTGGTGGTTAGCCCAGTATCCGCCCCGCGCCCCGCCTCGCGACCCGCCCGACGGATTAACCGTGTAAAAAACGACGGCGTTTGGAGGGCGATATATAATCTCTGCTTTCCCTTAGAGAAACCCTAGCAGCCGCCTCATTTTCCATTCTTCACCAAACGAACAGAAACCCTAGTTTCCTTCTTCTCTCTGCCTCCTCTCTGGCGATTAGCGATCAGATTGCTAGATAATCGCGATCTGGCCGATTTTTCATCATTTCCCCTCATCAAATCCTCCATTCGACCAATTGCATGGCTCAAAGAGCAACCATCCGACAAAGATTTCGTCGGCCGTAGTCCAAAAATGAGTCGTTGCCTCGTTGGAAGTCCGAATCGCTGATTCTTCGAGAAAAGATAAGTTATTTCTGGGTTTCTTATCTTTTCTTTCAAGTATCTTCCCTGATTCCCCGTTCCCCTAACTCTCTACTGACTCTTCTTGTACTCGTATATATAGGGAGGATTCAGAGCGCAGAGGTCGTTTCTCACCACGCCATCTTCTGAGTTTTGAAATCGAGAACAAGAACACCCCAGTCGAGTCAACAGAGAGCAGAGACCGAGGGATTTAGCCGAGCGCCCGAGCCTCCAGACAGAGTCCAGTCGTCGAGGGTAAGTTTCTTGATCTCGTCTAGGGTTAGTGGTCTCATAATACATACATGCATGCATTAAGTTCCAGTTCTAACTTGCTTTATGTTCGTTGTTCAATGACTCTTCTTGTTCACTCTTGTTTGGGCTAGGTTGGTCTCGTTTGGAAATTTGGATCGAGTTTACTGGTTTAGAGAACTGAAGCAGAGCAGAGTCAGTGAGCAGTGAGGAGCAGTCTACTGTCATTGGGTACTCGACAGTCCACATAAAACTCCAATCCGAGAAGGTAATCCCAGTCCTCTCCTAAGCCTCAACTCACTGTGTTTGACTGTTTGTTCATAATGCTGCGACTTGTTGTGACAATCATTGGATTCATAATGCTAATAAGTAAAATTAATTAAACTGTAAGCGTGATTTTGCTGCTAAAGATGTTTGTTTGCAAGTTTAGTTTTGTCATTGTGAAACAAGTAACTAAGTTAATAACTATTGAGTATTAACTTAACTAACGCTTAATATATATTATGTTCAGATGGAAGGTGCTCCTGCTATAAATGTTGACCTTGCTCCCAATGTGAATGTCCCTGAAAATGGTGTCCAAGTCCAACCTCAACCTGAACAACCTGTCCAACCTCAACCTGAACAACCTGGTAATGTTGAGGAGCTTGAAGCTCAACGTAAGTTAACCTCTGATGTGTGGCCTCACTTTAACCGAGTTAGGGTTAATGGGGTTATGAAGGCTAGGTGTAAGTACTGTCGTAAATCCCTTGGTGAGGAAACAAGTAATGGAACTTCACGCCTAAGAACCCATATCAAAACATGTATCCAAAAGAGGATACATGATGGTTCTCAAAAAATACTTGGGCATAACTATATACCTGCTGGAAATCCTCAACTCTCTGCTTCTCAGTACAATTATGAGGTTTCTAGGAAGGAACTTTGCTCAATGATTCTGGTCCATGAGTACCCCCTTAGCCTTGTTGATCATGTGGGTTTCAAACGTTTTTGCTGTTCTCTTCAACCTCAGTTCAGTGTTCCTAGTAGAAACACTGTCAAAAAGGACATTTTGAGTTTGTATGGTGTTGAAAGGGGTAAATATCAGACCATTATTGATGGTAACCTGGGGAGGGTTTCAATTACAACTGATTTGTGGACTGCCAGAAATCAGAAAAGGGGTTATATGGCAGTAACTGGTCACTTCATTGATAACTCTTGGAAGCTCCGTAACATAATGATGAGATTTATGTATGTTCCAGCCCCTCACACCAGTGAAAGGCTTGCTGATAGGTTGTTTGACTGTCTTTTGGATTGGAACATTGATGGTAAGTTGTCCTCAATCACATTGGACAACTGTACCACCAATGATTCCATGATTTTCCACATGAGAACTAAGCTTCTGAGCAGTGACTTGTTGCTTGATGGTAAATTGGTTCATATGAGGTGTTCTGCTCATATTCTGAATTTGATTGTAAGGGATGGTTTGGATGCAATCAAGGATGCTATAAATTTGATTAGGGAGAGTGTAGTTTACTGGAATTCTACACCTAAGAGGGTTCAAACCTTCTTCGAAGTTGCTAAGCAACTTAAGCTGTCTGTTGAGAAAAAATTAGTCCTTGATTGTCCAACTAGGTGGAATTCCACCTATCATATGCTCTCTGTTGCTATTTCCTACAAGGATGTTTTCTTTCGTTTGAGTTTGAGAGACAATCATTACACATCAGTTCCTTCTAGTGAACAATGGGAATTTGCTTCTACTGTGATTGGGAAGCTGGAAATCTTTTCTGAGATTACTGAGTTGTTCTCTGGTTCCAAATATCCGACTGCCAATCTGTTCTTCCCTAAGATATGTGATCTCAGACTTAAACTGAATGAGTGGGGTCTTGATCCCAATCCTGTGATTTTTGGAATGGCTAGTCAAATGTCACTGAAGTTTGATAAGTACTGGGATGATATTCATCTTGTGCTTGCTGTATCGGTTGTTTTGGATCCTAGATATAAACTCCATGTGATTGAATACTATGCTGGAAAGTTTGGGAATACAGAAACTGGTTTGGTTGCTGAGAATATCATGCAAATGATATGTGGTTTGATTCGTGATTATCAAACCAAAGTTGAGAAAAAATCTGGTTCTGAAACTGGAACTTCTTCTTCTGGTTCTGGATCTGCCTCTGCCACTGAACTTGACTTTGAACTCTTTGTAAGTCAAAGGAAAAAGAGTAAGACTTCCTTGATTACAACTGAGTTGGATATGTATCTTGCTGAGGATATCATTCCTCGCACAACAGAGTTTGATCTGCTCTTGTGGGGGTAATTGAATGGTTTGAAGTATCCGACCTTGCAATCAATTGCAAGGGACTTTCTGGCAATCCCTATTACTTCTGTGCCTTCTGAGAGTGCATTTAGTTCTGGTGGGAGGTTGTTAGACCCTCACCGGAGCAGGCTGCATTATTCGACTGTGGAGGCAATGATGTGTACTAGGAGTTGGATAATGGAGGACATGCAACGAGGTAAAATGCAACTATATCTCTCAAGTTTATTGGTTTACGTTTTAATAATAGTATGAACTCATTGAACTGGTTCTCTGCTGATTCGGAGGCTGCTGTAGAGGCATTGGATGGACTCTTCTCAACAATGAAACTCAAAGATACAACTGTGGAAGAGGCAGAACCTGGTGGTAAGATCAATAGATCATTTTTCCATAATGTGTTCTAATTTCTATTACTTCATTGAGGAATACTTATACTTGCATTGTTTTGCTTTTTCAGGTCCAGAACTCACCTTAATGAGATCACCATTTGCCCATGAAGACTGATTGGTAATCTACTGTGGGACCAAGGTAAATGTCTTCTTTATTTGTTGTCGTTGATGAATGAGTTTTATGCATTTAGTCTTTACTAAATGATTCATTCCTCTTGTGTGTTCTTTACACAGTTTCAATTGATGTCTGCTGGTCTGCTGGTTTACATCGATTGGAATGAGGGTCAGGGGTGGTCGGGTGGATGATTGCTCAATGATTCGATGCTGCTGGAATCTGGAATCCTGGATGGAATGTTGCTGCGCTGCTGTTGCTTGCAGCTTTTCATTCTACTGTTTTTGGAAAAGAATTAGACATTTAGTCATTTTAGAATTTAGAGTCGGCTCATACTTTTTGGTTGTTGGTTCATTTGATCATTTCTATCACAAACATGGAACAAATGTTGTTTTTGGTGTTGTTGCTTGCTGAGCTGCTGGCATAGGCTTTAATTACAGCTTGGCAAGCTTTCGTTGGTTTATTTCAAGTCTTTTTGACATATCAGTGACAGTCAGTATGAATAAAGTGTCCAGTTTTCCAGATTTTTTGTCATTTTTAATTTTATTTTTCATGTTTGTAGCGGGTATAATGGACCCGCGGGCACCCGATTACCCATTGGGGATGGGGATGGATATCCATCCAAGCCCGCAAGTCCGTTTGGGCCGGGGACGGGGAAACCCGAGGCCCATGGTGGGTGGGCAACGGATCCAGGGTACCCGGCCCCGATCCGCCCCGTTGCCAAGCCTAGTTGAGGAGGAGCAACCCCAACTCTACAGTGATCATTCAGCAGAGAAATCAACATTTTCATCGGATGTACGTTTGTTTCAAGGCTTCGAAGCTAGGATTCAAGGCTGGTTGTAGACAAATCTTATGCATAGATGGATGCTTCTTGAAGCATGAATATGGAGGACAGCTTCTTTCAGCAGTAGGTGTCGACTCAAATGATCAGTACTATCTGGTCGCTTTTGCTCATGTTGAAGTGGAGAATAGGGATAATTGGGAATGGTTTCTTCAGCAGATTGCTAGTGATCTTAACATCATGGATAATCCCGGATGGATGACAAACAGAAGGTATACCAATTTTCTCATACTTTTTTTTTTGTTGCAAATGGAGGAATTCACACTAGTTACATATGTTGACCTATATTGTGTTATTTTATTTAGGGTCTCATTCCAGCCCTTGACCATGTCTTTCCCACATGTGAGAAGAGACATTGCGGAAGGCACTTATGGACAAATTTGAAGGGAGCATGTGGGAGTTCCAAATTGGTGAAGGACTTATTTTGGAAAGCAGCTAGAGCATACACTGTGCCTGAGTTTCAGACCGCAATGCAAGATTTGTCTGAGTACCATAAGCCCTCTTATTATTGGTTGGTTGAAAAGCCATTTCACCATTGGACCAGGTCCCATTTTCTCACCCTCACAACATGTGACATAATTACAAGCAATATGGTGGAGAGTTGGAATAATGTGATTCTAGAGGAGAGGGATTTGGGACCTATAAGCACGTGGGAGGGGATTAGGCGAAATTTGATGCTTTTATATGTCGATAGACAGCAGGAGGTAACTAAGTGGGCTGGTCTGTTGAGTCGGAAGATTGCATTTAAACTTGGGAAGTTGGCAAAAGAAGCTGTGAAGTGGGTAGCTGAATCTAATGGAAATGGTGAGTTTGAAGTAAGATGGCACAACAAGCAAGTGGTGGTGAATCTAATCAATATGACATGCACTTGTAGACGTTGGGAGTTGACGGGTATTCCATGTGAGCATGCAATTCAGGAAATTCATAGGGCAAGCCGTCGAGTGTATGATTATGTTGCTGAGTGCTACTCCAAGGAAACAGCAGCTGCAATTTATAAGAACTCCATTTCGCCCATTACTGGCAGAGAGTATTGGCCAATATCCGAGTTAGGAGATGTTGGTGTCCCTCCCCTACAAGAATCATCAAAGAGAGGAAGGCCGAAGAAGCAGAGAAGAAAGGGACTTGACGAGGATGAAACGAAGAAGAAACAAAAGAAGAATGGAAGGGAATCATCAAATCCGGAAGGAAAGAAGCACAAGTGTAGCAAATGTGGGGTAGTTGGGCACAACAAAACCTTCCATGATGAAGAAAGGAGAAATAAGGTTGAGGCAAGAAAGAATGAGAAGGAAGAAGAAAAAAGGAAGAAGCAACTAGAAAGGGCCTAGAGAAACAGAATTGCAGCCCTACAGAAGCAACAAAAAAAGGCTGCAAACAATGCTCTTCTTCTTTGCCAAGGAGTCAGCCCCATATAGTCCAACTCATGCCTGATGTATTTCTCTTTGCACTTTTACACTTTCCTTACCTTTTAACTTCCACCAGCATACTAATGTCGTCTTAATTTGCCAGGAACTACTCGGAGGCCATCAAGTCAGGTATCACAGCAAGCAAGCCAAAGCTCTCAAGTCTCACATATTGGAAGTCAAGTCACTCGAGCAGAGCAGTTGTGAAGAGTAGTTTTAGCTTTAGTAGTGGTCGGTTAGGTCTTGGTGAATGACCATTTTGCAGTTTGAAGCCTCTAGTGGCTCTTGCAAACTACTTCCGATTTGCTAGTTTGAGTTTTGTCGGTTAGGTGATGATGCATGGCTCTTTTGGACAACACAGCCTTTGCGTAATTATAATTTGGAACTTGTAGGTACTGCGGTTTATGAATGACTATCAGGTTTGCTTAAGTTTGTCATTTAAACCTTCTGTCTCCAACTCAAGAATGTGAACTTGATTCAAATTCAAGTGACTATATATCAATTTGAATTAGAATATAAGTGACGAAAAGTCAAACTGTACTGGACTTTCTGTGACCAATGGTGGGCCTGAGACAAACTTTAAGTGACCAAATGCGAAATGAAATAGTACTTTAAGTGGCCAAACGTGGAAAGAAATAGTACTTTAAGTGGTCAAAAGCGAAAATTAATTTTACTAGGGTTAAACACAGACAACAGTACACAGAACCCTTGATGGTTCAATTACAGCAGCAGCTACAATTCAATAGACGGCTGCTCATTTCATATCCAAAATAGAGAGAATACAAGGGCAATGGCAATGAAGATGGACACTATTTTCACATTAACATTAGACCCTTTCTGATTTTGCCTCTGCTCTTGTTCTCGAATCCGGTGATGAAAGTTCAGCACCACATATCGCATATGCTCCTCAAGGGCTGGGTCTCTGCATCTTAAGTAATTACAAGCTCCATTTGTCTACACATCATCAAACTAAACAAAAAACACTGAAATATGAAGGAGCATAACATTCGAATCGTGAAAGTAAAATAGGAAACAAAGATGAGTGAAATCTTACCCCATATCTGCTGCACCCATAGAATCTCCTCCCTAGATTCGCCTCAGTCCAGCTCGTCTTCAGATCTGTTGGCTCTCCACAATGACAAAAGGGTGCCGCCATTGACAGAGGGGGAAGTGGGAGAATCAGATGCAGAAGGAGGAAGAAAACAGAGAGGTGGAGAGGGTACGGTTCACGGGTTGGGAAGTTGGAGAGGATTGTTGCGTAAGGGTAGCCTTATAAAGCAGACAGAGGGGTCGGTTTTAGGGTTGGGTTCACGGGTTTGGTTGGGGGATCTAACATGGCGGGTCAGGTTCCTTTTTTCCGGGTTAAATCACGCTGACTCGCCCACACTGTTAGCCACGTCGCAAATAACAGACTCCGTTAACGGAGGCTGACGGAGAGTGACCAATCGTGAACCGTTAAGCACTTTCAGTGACCAGGGATAGAATAAAATTCTTTTAGTGACCAAACATGAATATTTTAGCACTTTTAGTGACCAAAATAGAGCACCTTGAAAAAGTGATTCCATGATCTTTCTGTTTTTGAGAGTCTCTTTGTCCATGAATCACTTGTCCTCCGATCACTACTTGGCATGATCCCGACGCAGGACTAGAGTTCTCGCCGAAGAAGCTAGGAGGTGTCTTGTGCGTTGGTTGACCTT